TTTCCGCAGATGTAATTGATCTGATTCCTATGCATACCATCAGGTGAAATCCATGTGTATAACCTGCGTTTATGTCTCTTAAAAAACGTATTTGCAATGAATAAGTCATTGATTGTGCAAAATTCAATCATTCTACCTCTAGCTGCATTTCTGTCACCAAGTCCATGTTTTCCAACTACTGATTCTTCTTCCCTGTTCCCAACTTTTGTGTTCCAGTCGCCCATTATTATCAGTGCATCTTGATTGCATGTTCGCTCTATCTCTGCCTGTAAGAGTTGTTAAAAATCATCTATTTCTTCTTCTTTGGCTCTGGTTGTTGGTGCATATATCTGAATGATGTTGTTGTTCACTGGGCTTCCTTATAAGCGTATGGATATCATTCTATCACTCACAATGTTGTACTTCTAGATGGATGTAGAAATTTCTTCAACTATGAAAGCAACTCCATTTTTCCCCACCTTTTCATCTCCAGAATAATATATGATCATCTGACTCAAAATTCCCCATGCCAGTCCATCTCATCTCTCCAATGTTAAGAAATAGATTAGAATAACGGGATATTACATGGTTTAAAATTAGAAAAGGTGTATGTCACGCTAGTATTTTTTTGCTATACATACTTAGTATGTGTACCGAGAAAATAATCCAAGAAGTTTCACTCTATGAAGAAGAGTGTGGCATCAGGATTAGAAGAAAATCAGCACCCTGTGTTACACAGATTCTTACAACTTGCAGAAAGTCAGGACTTGAAGCACTTCCTGAAGAAGATAAAAGGTTATAGTTTATGGTATGGATTATATCTCAACATGAAGAGAAATCAAACATCCTCACAGCCAGACCAAAGCAACATCATCATAAATCGAGAAAAGATTGAAATTTTCAAGGATTTCATCTTTCTTGGTTCCCTAATAAAAATTCATGGAAATCAAAAGACTCATCGTTTTGGGAAAATCTTTTGTCAGGAACCTCTTTAAAGGGCTGTAGAGCAAAGACATAAGTCACTCTAAAGACTTTAAGGAAAAGCAAATCTTTGTTGGAGGAAATGCAACCGCAGTTCACCTTTAGTGGCAAGATGGTAAGACTTCTCATACTTCTGCATGTTGTTAGGAGGGTCCAGTCTATGCAAGAAGACATCATGCTTGGCAAGGTGAAGGGTCAGCAGAAAGGAAGATCCTCAGTGAGATGGATTGACACAGTGAATGCAGTGAGCTCAAACATTGTAGAGACTGTTGCTGGCACAAAATCAGGCAGGGTTTCAGGGGCTCTACATGGTCCCTGAGTTGAAGGCAGCTCGATGACAGCTCCCAGGTCCTTTCAACAGTGGGAAACTTGGTTTTTAATTTTCGTTAAGTGTTCGCTCTTTTCCTTGTCATCACCTCAGTTATATAGCGCAGAGTCGGGCAAGAGGGAGAGTTAACATGATTTGCGAAAGTGGTGCTTTCTTATAAGTATTTGGACTGAGATGCACATCTGGACTGATTCTAGAATCACTGTATGTTATTCACCCTCTTTTTTTACTAGAATTTGAGATTTTTAGGATATATGAAAGTCTCATTTTGTATAACTGATGGTAAAGTTAGAAAAGATGATTATCAAGATGCTTTTATGTCCTATAAAATTAGTAAACTGGAAGATTAGTAAGGGGTCAGTAGGCTTTTGGCAACAGTCTATATCTTTCCTAGCATCACCCTGTGTCGAAGCCCATCCTGTTAGGGTAGGGAGGGAGACATGCCTTTTTCCACACTGCCTTGTCAGCTGTCAGGAGTCATGAGTTGGCTTGATAACTTGTAGTTTTTCTGTCTTGGCTTCCTACTTTCTGCCATCCAATAGTGCTGTCCCATGATTTAGAATAAATGTGTGTATGTTTTCCCATTTTCTTCCCCCACCCTCTTCGTTTTCTTTCTTGGGGGTATCACTGAATTTGAAATGAGTGATTTTTCTTTACTACTTTCTGCACTTGTCCAGATTTTTGGGGTGAGTTTAGAGGACAAGAAGGAAAGGATGACTGTGATTGATGTTGTATCCATGACTTAAACAACCTAATTGAAAGAGTTTTTTACTGTGAGCTAAAAGTGTGTGTTTATGTCGTATTCTCAACTAGCAGTGTTGATTTTCATTTAGATGAAGTAGTCTTAGTGGGATTGACTCCTTGTACCTCTGTTAAGATTCTGATTTTCCTCACTTGTAGCTGATGTGAAAATAATGTCGTGGGTAATTATGAAGTTATTAATACGTGAAAGTACCCTAATTTACATGAGGTGCTATGTATGGGTTTTTGTTTTATTGGATGTGTATTTGGCAAGTATGTATGGTGAATTATATGTGTGTATATATTTTTATAGCTTTATTGAGGTATAATTCATCTATTGTTAATTTCCTTTTAAAGCTAATTGTGCTAACTAAAAAAGTTTCAAACATTTTCAATCATGAGATATTTACACTTGGAAAATTACTCTCGATTCTTTTTCTTTCACAGGTCTGGTGTCCAATGTCTCCTGAATTTTATCGGGAATATGTGGCAATTAAAACCAAGAAACGAATCTTGCTGTACACTATGAACCCCAATAAGTTCAGAGCTTGCCAGTTTCTAATCAAGTTTCATGAAAGGAGGAATGACAAGATTATTGTGTTTGCTGACAACGTGTTTGCCCTGAAGGAGTATGCAATCCGGCTGAACAAGTAAGAACTGGCAGGTTGTCACTAGGCTATCTAATCTTCTCTGTGTGAGTGAGAGTGCAGGTGTGCCTGCCTTTTCTTTCATACCTCTCAGAAGCTTCTCAGAATCTTTGGGTCTGGGACTGTGGACTGGACCTAGTCCTAGGAACCAGGCAATACAGGACTGTGGGTCACAGGAAAAGTCTAGTTGCCCTTAATCCAGAGAGCAAGGGTGCAGTCAGCCAATCAGAGGCTCAGATCTTGTTTGTGGTCAAGAACTAGGCAACAGTTGGCTTCCTGAATTTTACTTCATGAGTGTTTGAGGCCAAGTGAACATGACAGGTAGAGAGTGTTATACAAAAGGTTAGGAAGGCACTGTGAGTTGGACTAGCATCCTACACCTGGAAACAACTTCTCAGGAAACATCTAACCAGCATCCTGAACAACTCACAATCCCTCACAGATCCAGTAGTTTAAAGAGCTTAGCTGTTCTGTGTCTCTGCAGCTGAAGAGGAAGAGACAAGTACTTATACATGTGGTGAAGCAGAATTTCAGATATTTTAATAATAATAATGGTAATAGAAGACCATAGAAGTGGGAAAATAATGAGCTTGGAGATAGAGATCATGTGACAAAATTTTGTGTGGCCAACAACTTACTAATTGCAAATGATTTAAAAAAAATAACACCCCAGAAAAATATAAACGTATATGTGGATCTTGCCGGAGGAAATACACAGGAACCAAATAGGTAAATTTTGTGGCAGAGATCATCAGTCGGGTTTACTGTGGAAAAATTCAAACTACATACAGAATAGGATGTGTTATGAGGACAAATACTTCTTGTCTGAAAGCAGAGAATAGCAGTGGTATGACTTGAGTTTTATTGACTATGAGAAACCATTCAATTGAGTCACAATAAATTATAGATAACATTGAGAAGAGTAAGAAGTTCAGAACACTTCACTGTACTCATGAGGAACCTGTACATAGATTAAGAAGCAGTTATTAGAACAAAACAAGGGAATACTGCATAATTTAAAATCAGGAAAGGTGTATATTAGGACTGTATCATTTCACCATACTCTTTCATATGTATCCTGATGCTATAGTGCTCTTCATATAATTTAGCTTCTTGAATTATTTTCCTCAGCCTCTGACAGCTCCCTTGTGTAAAATGACTGGTCTGTATGAATAAGGAAGTATAGGACAGAAGGAAGAATTATCAACTTGCACAATGAGTGCAGAAAGTGAAGAGGCTTGAAGCACTTACTGGAGAAGATCAAAGACTATAGCATTTAATATGGATTACATCTCAACATCAAAACAGAAATCCTCACCACTAAATAAGAGCCAACATCATGATAAGTGGAAAAAAGATGGATGTTGTCAAGAATTGAATTTGATTAGGGGGAGCTTTGGTGGCCTAGTGACAAGGACCTGCAACTACAATCCCAGAGGCGCACGGTTCGAATCCACCAGATGCTCTGCCGGGGAAGGAGGGGCAGTCTCCTCCTGTACCAGTCAGATCTGATTTGACGGTACACGTACAAAAATAATAAAATTTTTAAAAAAAGAATTTAATTTGATTAGAATCCTCTGGCCACACAGTCAACTACAGCAACAGTCAGAAAATTAGAAGACATGTTCCATTGGGCAAATCTGTTACTAAAGAATCTCTCAAAGGGCTGAGAGCGAGGACAATCAGCTAAAGACTACAGTGCATCTGATCCGAACCATACCATTTCCCATTACTTTGTATGTATCGGAAGGTTGGTTGGTGAATAAGGAAGACCAAAGAAAAATTGATGCCTTTGCATTGTGAAGCTGGAAAAGAATATTGAATATCCCATGGTCTGCTGAAATGACTAGTCTGTCTCAGAGGAAGTGCAACCAGTGACTGTAAAAGTGGGCTTGAGCATGGATCGTGAGGATGGTACAGGAGAGGGCAAGATTGAGACCTGTTGTTTGGAGTGTCACTGTGAATGGTAGCTGATTGTTCATTCAGTATGTGTGCTGAACGAATAATCCAAGTTGAAGCAGTTACTGAAGAATATCTAAGACTATAGCCTTAAATATGGATTACACCTCAATATGAAAAAAATTAACATCCTCATAACTGGATCAGTAAAAAACATCATCATAAATGTAGATAAGATTGAAGTTGCCAAGGTTAAAAAAATAATGCCTATTTAAAACCTCAGCTTTGAAATTACATAACTCTGCTCAAACTTAGCTTTATCAAAAAACCATTATAATGTATACATTTTACCAACAAGATACAAGTTTGTTTATTCTGGTTTGGAATTGACAGATTTCCTCAAGTCTTTTTCTGAATCTCAGTCATTGAAGTTTCCACTGCAAAAACTTGTGGAGGTGCTTGAAGGAGTAGTAGGTGGTTAGAGGTTAAGGCAGAATTTTGTTGCTCAATTCTTTGAGTTTTTGGATCATTGGTTGTGTGATGGGTGGTTGGGCACTGTGCAGAAGGACCTTTTCTTTGGATGAGTGCTAGATGCCAAAAGTGCAGATTTTTATTTCACCAATATTCAAGAAATGGTAGTGGATTTATCTGGCTGCAAAAACCAGTCACCATGACCTTTTGGTGTGAGCTCAGTTTTTTGTTGCTTCACTTCAGTCCAACCACTGTGTTGATCATCACTCCATTTTTCATCACACATTATAATAGTAGAGAAAGATTACGTGAAAGGAGCACAAAGCAGATTTCAGAGAAGTGATGGCTTTAATTTTCATTCAGTTTGTGAGGAACCCATTTGTTGATTTTCTTCACCTCTCCAGTTTGCTCCAAATGATGAGCAGTCATAGAATAATGGATGTGGAGTTCAGCTGCAAATTCTCAGAAAGTTTTGAGGTGATTAACTTTGTTTACCCGATCATTATCTACTTCTGATGGCTGACCACGACCTTCCTTGTCTTCAGGGTCTGACCCTTATCTTCAGGGTCTGACTCACGGTGGCAGCATATTCATTGACACTTCTCTGGACCCACACTTCATAGATATTTTGAGCTGTTTGTGCTACAGTTCACCTGAGTTTGAATGAATAAGATTGTTGTTGTTGTTGTTATGTGCTGTCGAGTAGCCTGCGACTCATAGCGACCCTATGTACAACAGC